TTCAGTCAGTGGCACTGCCCCGGGGGGAGGAATGGCCTAAAGACACTTCAGTCAGTGGCACTGCCCCGGGGGGAGGAATGGCCTAAAGACACTACAGTCAGTGGCACTGCCCCGGGGGGAGGAACGGCCTAAAGACACCTCAGTCAGTGGCACTGCCCTGGGGGGAGGAATGGCCTAAAGACACTTCAGTCAGTGGCACTGCCCCGGGGGGAGGAATGGCCTAAAGACACTACAGTCAGTGGCACTGCCCCGCGGGGTAAGGTGCCTTTTTACATCCCCATCGACTCAGTTTAGATCATTTAGGAGGCGGGCCTCAGACCCTGCCAGTCAAGGCAAATCCGAGCTTTCTCCCCACTCAGGAATAGAACTCTGGTCTCAGACATGCGACAACGAAGTGCCTAACTGATGCACCACAGAGCAAACCACATGAGAGCACCCACCAACCACTCACAATAAACGTTCTATCATGGACAGACACACATATAAGCACGTACCTTCGTCAGCTAAGTAAATTTTCGATCATGGACAGACGCACATGAGCAGACACACATGTGAGCTTGACACACGAGCAGACACACAAACGTCTTCACAAACCTTTGTCGGTTAAGTAAACGTTCTATCATGAACAGACACACATATGAGCACGACAAACAAGCAGACACACTAATGTCTTCACATACCTTCGTTCCCTCCTCCAAGTTCCCCTTGAGCTCCATAAAACTGTCGTAGCCTGCGGCGAGATCTTTGAGCATGGTCTCACGCTGAGCAGCGTTCTGATTGGACGATTTGGCATTGGTGAACTCTGTGTTGGAATTCTGGAAAAAAACAACAACCGACATCAGTTTATTATCTGTTTCTGTTTTTAAACGCACGTCACCTGGAAATCATAATACTCAGTGCTTGCCAAACCTAGCCCATAACCAGAAATATCATTAATGAAATTAAGAACAGCACAAAGAGCAATGGGAAGGAAGATGCTGGGCATAAGAATACAAGATCAAACAAATCACACAAAAATACGAGACCGAATACAGGAGTGACAGATATCACACTCACTCCTTCACAGACCAGAACTCGCTACCATCTCCGTCACTCTGTCTACTGTACATGTAAGAATTTCCCACAATCTTCACAAAAGGATCTGGAGAGTTTTCAGGATGTGACACCAATGCCTCTTTCCACCAATGACAACAAACCATGGCCAAAGCTGAGATGTCTGCGTCTCCCCAAAGAGCAGAAGGCACATAACTTACTATCCCCCCACTTGTCTGTTCTCAGCAAACAGTCTTGGGCTGAGATCTCCATGCTCTGCAAAGCTCCCCCCCCCCCTTCCCCCTACCCTACACACATGCACAAACACAGGCAGACAGACAAACAAACAAGACATCAGGCTTGCCAACTTTTTCAAAAACTAGCCAGGGGCACCCAGCAGTATAAGACCAGATTAGGTGACAAAGAACATAATAATAATAATAATAATAATAAATAGAATTTGTATAGCGCATATCCCCGCTCAACTGCAGGCTCTATGCGCTTTGCACTATATTAAAATCACATCCACTGGGACGGCTTTTGGAAAAGTGTAATAATTGTCCGCCCAGCGGAAACACGGTAGGCCACAGGAAACACGAAGGAGATGTGTGGAAAGGGACATGAGAGAGACGAAGCTCACTTGGAACCAGCTTGGAAGGATGGCCTAGCAGAGAGATAAATGGAAGGAGCTTGTATGTGGCCTATACCTTGCCAGGGGTGAAAGGCATTGGTGATGCTGATGTTGAATAAATGTCCTCTAAAATTCCCAGATAGCTGAATCCTGGACAGCCCTGAGAAATTCTGGACAGTTGGCAAGCCTGCGTCACTAACGGCACCAGAAAGAACCACCCCCTCTCACCCCACCACCCTCTCACCCCACCACCAACTCACCCCGCCACCCCCTCACCCCACCATCCTCTTACCCCACCATCCTCTCACCCCACCACCCCCTCACCCCACCACACCCTCACCTTGAGTGGACTGCTGTTGTCCAGAGCCGCCCTGGTACCGAGGGGCGACAGGCGGGGCTTGCGCGGGCGTGTTGGCGATGGCTTTCTGCAGGTCCGCCATCAGCTCGTCCTTCTCCGTTTTGCGTGCGAAGCAGAAGTCGTTGATCTTGGTCTGTAGCCGGACTAGCAGTGGCGTCAGGTCATTGTAGAACTGGACGGACAGACAGAATTTTTTTTTAGCGAAGGTGCCTTTTTTATCATAGTAGAGGTTTTTACGGCGCTCGCAACTGCATAAGGTCATATGAGCGCCAAGGGGTGGGTGTCAACAGAGAAGTCTTTACAGGGAATCAGACTTACTCTCTAGCTCACCTCTCTAGCTTAAACAGCACAAGGTCTGCTTCATCTATTAAGGCACCCCGGAAATAGCAGATCACAAGAGTGTGACAAAAACACAAAAGAAGTAGAGGAAAATGAC